AAACAATGAACTTAGGCAGAACTCAAAAAAAATTTGTCAGAAATCAACTCACATCTTCAGTGACCTGACCGTCGTTCTGGTAAACATTGAAGTAGAAAATTGTAGCATTCTTGTGGTCAACGCGCTTCACAATCTGAAATGAAACTGAGGATTTAAGCTTGATATGAGATCGTAGAGCTAGAGCTTTTCTTGATCCCTCATAGATAAACAATCACGCGTGTTCTTAGTATAGATAGCGTTCGCATTCAGCCTAACTTCCATTCGAGATCTTTTCAATGCATTTCTCATGTGCGATGCATCACAGCTTTCATTACTATCACATTTGCGACAGAGATGCTATGCCTCTTTCAGCTGCTGTCGTCAAAGTCAAGGATTCACTCTTGAACAACTTCATTTTCAGCTGCATATAAATGTAGTTAACTTATTTATGTTTGTAGTCAATAAAAGAGGCAACAAATTTGGCGTGTGGAAGATTTGGGAAAATACTCGAATAACGGAGTCTAGCACCCTATTCATTTCTCATAGTAGCTCAAAAGTGCTTTACACTTTTCTGATGATTGACGCCAAAAGTCAGTACACAAAAGATCTAATTACAGCGCCTTGTTGCATTTAAATCTATCTATTTCTATTTCACCAAACATAGGAATCGTTCTTGATGACTTAAAATGCTGCCTTATATCGGATTCGGGACTTGGACTGTTCACTCGGTCAAGTTTTGTAATTCAGCATGCCCTAACTATTTTGAACCCGACCTACGTACCCTCTAATCCAAAAAACATAAAAATCCTGTTTGTCAGGTTCCTTCTATAGTTTGCTGATCCAGTTTTTACCATCTTAATTTTCATTACAACTTCAAGCTGAAGCATATCTCATAGCTGTTGAAATCACACCAAATGACTCCATAGTCTTTTGCGCTTTCCAATCAGAACAATTACGCAAAAAAACCTCACTTAGAGCTAACGCAGTTGTTCGAAATGGCTCTCCACACACTTCCCTTCTGGCAATAATCAAAAAACAACTCAAGGTAATGAATATTAAGAGCAAACGTAGCAAGGAAGAGCCAAAACAGGTGTTATGTTACAGTATGGAGGTCGTATTACTATACACTTTGTGAAAGCTAATTTTTAGGCATCTAGTTTTTTTCTATTTCTTAAATACAATAAAATTGCTTTCCGAGTCGATTAGATTTGTATTTTTCCTTCCCTAAATAAATACTTGAAGCAGCATAGCGTCATTTGTTTGCATAACCCTTTGCAGATTTTCTATGGATTCAAATTTTAGGTAATGAAAAATGACGTTTTGAAAGCTGATACAAAATTTGATTAATAGAATTGCTTGAAGCAGCGTTTTAGCAACAGGAAAAGGAGGATTTCTGAAAGGACAAAGCGCCACTATACATCCGGCCTTATCTTTTTGACAAGCTTTGCAAGACAAAGGGTCTAGTAATATAAACATATTTTATAAGTAAGAAGTGAAGA